AAATTTTTTTTCAAAAAAAAGTGTGGGTTTTTTTTTTTTTTTTTTTTTTTTTTTTTTTTTTTAAGTGTTAGAGGTATTTCTGGTTGCAGTAGAGACCCAAATTGATGTGCAAACACTTGCAAAATGTGAATTTTAACATTTTTATTTTAATACTTAAAATGACATTTTTACTTTTGCTGTGTGTAATGTGAAGTGAAACAAACTTTTGTACTGTGCATTTTATCATCTCAGTAAAGTAAAGTCTGGCATTCATATGAGCAGTCTGACACTGTATGACATGTTCAGCTCAGCAACAAGTTCCAGCCTGTCCCTCTCTGCCTCCTCTATAACCTCTTTGCTGGATCTAACCTCCCAGGAAGCAGAGGGTAATCGAGATGAGGACCTCTGTCTGGCAGATTGCAACTCTGTCGACAAGAGTGAGACCACAGAGCCTCTGAATAACAAGCCTGCTTGTGCGTCATTCTCTCCTCTGGAGGTAGCCAAGGCTCAGGACTACATTTGTCCTCAGCCAGTTCCTGAAGGTAAGAGAGAAACCTCTCTGGTATGTGGGAAGTTAAGTATCGTGGACTAAAAAGCCATCAGGATATACACACTGTGATAATTTGATAGTTGTCAGCCCGAAAAAACTTGAAGAATCGTTAAATCTGCATGCATGTTTTGGCAGAGATGCTGCGAGGCTGGTGGAGAATTTCAGATGTGGAGAACCTGCAGAGTCTGGTCAATTCTCTTCATAACCGGGGTATCAGAGAGAGGGGGCTGCAGAAACAGATCCAAAAAAATATGGAGCATACGAGCCAGATCTACGCCAACCGAGCAAATGGTAATTTAAACTTCAACTAATAATATATGAACAAGCTGAAATTTTATATTTTGAGATGCACAAATTGCATTGGCTTGAAAAAGTATTCATATCACTTATTATCAAAATACATTTGTTAAACAAGTCAGGGCACAAGTTAGGGATGTGTGTGCACGTGAAACACAAGATGGATGAAGGGTGTCGTCTCTACGTGGAATATTGGTGCCAAATTACCACAATGGGACAAATGGCTAAGCTTTAGAAGCCAGGTGAAGAAAACCTGTTAGTCGTTGCAAAAGACTTGAAACTGGGACAGGTGTTCATTGAACAATGACTCCAAACATTCACCCAATGTAAAGATTTATCAAAACTTACTCTTGTGTTGGAACGGCCCACTCAAAGTCCAAGCGTAAATCCAGGTGATTATCTGGCAAGACTCAAACATTTGTGTTAGCAGATTCATTTAATCTAATCTGACTCCACTTGAAACATTTTTTTTACAAAAAAAAACAAAAAACAATGAGTACAGTTTTCATTTTCTAGACATGCAAACCTGCTAGATACATAACCCAAAAAATTTGCTGAAAGTTTGCCTCAAAGAAGCTAAATACAAATACACCTCATTTTCTAGCTCTTCTTTTGTAGTTAACAAATATTATAAAACCAATTATTTCGTTTTTGCTTCACAGTTGCATACTATACCATGCTGATTTGTTGGATAAAATCCCATTAAAATATACTGAGATTTGTGGCTGTAATGTAAAGACATTCAATGGATATGAATACTTTTGCAAGGCTTTGCAAGTTGACTGTAGATCCTAAAATATTTTACCATGTCTGTGGCAGCAGAATTTGACACAAAAGACCCAGAAAAGCAGAAGATAAGCAGGGAGATTTTTGAAGGCTGGTGTGTTGAACAGCGAGCCGTTGAGGTTGACGGCAATCTGCTGCTGCAGGTAGAAGCTCTGGAGAAAAATGTCCTATCTGCCAACTTACACATTCAGGTATGCATCTGTGTCTGATTCATAAACTCCAAAATAAAATAAGATTCCTACAACACCATAATGGTTATAATGCACAAATGTACCTACTTTAGGGTTGGATGCCCAGTGAGCCCCAGTACAACAGTGACGATCTGGTCTGTTTTGAACACGAGCCCTTGTCTTCCGTTTCTTTGGACAACAAAAAATGGGAAGAAACTCGACAGGAGAGACTTTCAGGCTTGTTGATGCGACGCTCCAACAGTCTTCTTGACGTAGCAGTCATCAAGCTTGCACACCTGGAGAGGAACATTGAGCGAAGGTAGACCTCAAACTACACACCTCTGGTCTGACAGCACAATGTGATTATCATGTTTATATTTGAGGTAAAGTGAGACTATGGATGCTGCTTTGTAACTAAAAACTATATGGGCTGCTGCTTATTCTGTTTTAATTCTCCAATGAGTCTTATATTGTCTCTTTACAGCAACAAGCAGGAGGTGGCTCCTGGAATGAGACGGTGGCATAAAGCCCTCGGTAAAATCCGCAGTTCAGCTCAGCTGTCTCTTTGCATTCAGCATCTGCAGAAATCTGTTGTTTGGAAACAAGACGTCATGAAAGTGGTTGGTTTTCCCTGATATCTCTCTTTGGTTATACATTAAAAAAAATTGCAACACTTACACTAAGGAGCAAGTGTTTTGTAAAAATCCCTAATAAAGTGATTTGTTCTGAGCTATCTGAAAATAGGCTGTTTTAATAGATTAATGCTTTACCATCTGAAATGTTAACAGTCATGATAAAAGCATTTTAATTATCATTTGAAACTTTGCAAAGTGATCTTGCATATTTGTCTTTATATTTTTGTTTTATCAGCAGTGCCAGCTCTGTCAAAAAGGAGACAACGATGAACTACTTTTACTGTGCGATGGCTGTGACAAAGGCTGCCACACGTACTGCCATAATCCAAAGATAACCATGGTACCTGCCGGAGCATGGTTTTGTTCTTCTTGTGTGAGTGAATGATTCCTTTTTGACAATTTGTTCTTGATTTTCAATGGACAGATGGTGCATTTTTAGATCCTCTAAAATCTTCTGTGTTCCGTCACTCAGGAAAGTGGTCAAATCCCTCCCAGCGGGGAGCAACAAAGCCAAACAGCTGGAGGAAAGCACAAAAGCAGTGAGGTAAAACAAAACTGTAAGCCATCTGTGAAGGGAGAGCATGTCAGTGAGGAGGTTGCCAGCAGCAACAACATGCCAAGAAAAGGTTCCAAGGAGTTCAAAAAGAGGAAAGGAGAAGGCAGCTCTGAGCCCAGGATTGACAGCCTTGTTTCCTGTGCAAAAAGGGCCAAAACACCCAACAGTGAGCTGGCTGTGTGTCGGTATGTACATGCACATTCAGAACATACAGCAGTTGTCTTCTTTTGTATAAAACAACCATAATATTTAGTTCAAGAAAGTGAAACTTAATCGAAAAAGGATGACCAGCTGTTTCTGCCCTTCAGAGTGCTGCTGGCTGAGCTGGAGGCCCATCAGGACGCTTGGCCCTTTCTGAGACCGGTTAAGCTCAAGTCTGTCCCTGGATACAGAAAAGTAATCAAGAAACCAATGGACTTCTTTACTATTAAGGAAAAACTCATCAACAACATGTAAGTATTAATATCATTGTGCCAAATATATATATAAGCATATATAAATGTGTATATACACTCCCTTTCAAAAGTATCTATGTCCCTCATACTTTTCCACATTATGTCACATTACAGAAGCAATTTTCAGTGAGTTGGTCGCATAAAACCCTTAGTTTTATGTGATGTGAAATTGAAAGTAGTGCATAATTAAAAAGAAAATGTTCTATAGTTTCCAATACTTTTTTTTCTTTTTTTTTTACAAATAGTCTGAAAAGTGTACTTTGACTGAACAGTTCTGATGTATAATTATGCTCTGATCTAAATTCTTGCATTGCTGTATGTTTGGGATTGGTATATTCCTTCTATCTTGATGATGTTCAATAATGTTCTCAAACAAACTTACGAGGCCTAAAAAGAATATTTATGTTCTAACGCAAAACTGAATTGAATCATATTTACTATTGATTTTTGGGTTTTGGGTTAGTGTAAAGCCAGTTGAAAACATTGTTTTTAAAACCACTTCAAAATTATGCCCCATTTGAAGCTGATCCATCTAAAAAAAAAAAATCATTAAAATACATTAAACTTTTCAACATTTTAATAAACTTCAAAGGGTTGGAATAATTTTGCAAGGCACAGTAAATAATTACATATAAAAGTTTGGTGTGTAAATTAAACTGTTCTTTTATGATTACAGGTATTTAAATCAGGAGAACTTTGTTATTGATGTGAACCTGGTTTTTGATAACTGTCAAAAGTTTAACGAAGATGACTCTGAAATTGGACGAGCCGGCCACAGGATGAAGAGATTTTTTGACAAACGATGGACCGAGTTACTGCATTGAAAAAAAAAAAAAAAACACCACATTTGACACAGCAATAACCGTATTATTCTTTGTAATTAAAGCTCTGACTTTAACTTTTGAAAAGATCGCACACCTTTTGTAAACACTGATGTGCAGAGTCAATAAAGGTAACGGAAAAGACTTGTGGAATGTCTACTTGTGTTGAATACTTCATTTAATAAAATACTTAATCCTGAACCCAGTGTTGTCAGAAATCTAATTTATCAAGACGATGTATGTGTTTTTTTTTTAAATATTATATTGAAGTTCTTGTCATTGGGTATTGGATTTCACAAATATTTTTTTTTTTAGAAAATGTGATATACAAAGTACATGAACTATTTGACTCTGGCCGACAGAACTACATGTAAACCACAGGATTACTATCACAGACGGGTAGCTGCATGAATAGATTCCCCAAAAAAATTGGCCACAACAAAACACATGAAAATTAGCTTAGGAGGAGCAGCAGAACAGACTGGAATAACCAAATTCATTGATGATTTCTAGGGAAGTGGCAAATTCACAGAAAACGTATGTTAGTCAGTGTTTCACAGATGCTGATCATACTTATATTATCCACAGTTTCAGAATCTGTGCCAAAATATGTAAAACTAAAACTGCTCTTCTGCCTGCTTTTGTGAACCAATCAGCCGATTTCAGTGACCCAAATTATGCAGAGGATTAGGTTTTTTTTTGTTTGTTTTTTTAAATTTATATTTATTCTCTTTTAGATTTGATGGGAAAACACCACTGGATTGTATCTTGAAGTAGTTTTTAACTGTGAACTAGATTCTAAAACTGTCTATTTTTCACTCATTTGTTTTAACAGCAATTTAGGAAATTAAAGGGGACAAATCTTTGTATAACTCCCGGTTTCTGTTTTATTGAGTCAACTATGAACATTGTGTAATGCAATGACGAACCGTCACAAGACTGATAACAAGCAAGATAAATTTTATTGGTGTGCTGTAGGCGGAAGCAAGGACATACTTATTAACGAACAAGGGCCTCATTTCACTTTCTGGACATTTGTCAGTTTTCAAACAGCGACAGAACAGCAGGCAGAAAGTAGAATAGCTTCTTCCTGCTTGTACTTTCGGACCATTTGCGCCACCCTGAGACTGATTTACGGCCAGAGTCGACAGGTGCCAACATGGTCTCTTTAATTCGTACAATTCGAGATCATACAGACGAGATCAGCTGCTGTGCCTTCTCTCAGTCTACTCTGGTGACCGGATCAGCTGATAAAACGATCCGGGTGTATAGCACGGCGGACTTTAAGGAGTTGCCCTTCTCTCCTCTGACGGGTCACGGCTACGGGGTTCACCGCTGCTGCTTCAGCTCCTGCGGCAGCTACCTGCTAAGCTGCTCCACGGACGGCTCCATCGTAGTTTGGAGCTCGGAGACAGGTGAGCTACTCTCGGCGGTGGAGCACCCGGGCCGCAGTCCGCTCCGAGTCTGCGCGTTGGCGCCGGACTCCTGCCTCCTGCTGGCGGGTGCCTGTGATGGCACCGTGGCCCTCTGGGACTTCCCTTCCAAGACACTACGCAGGTATACTTCCTCGTTTCTGATACCAGACCGTATTTGTCTGAAAGTACTCTTAAATGATGTAGACGTGTCCACTGCTGACACTGCTGGAAATGTGCCATGTTATCACAACAGTAACATTTCTTCATCCATTCATTTTTTTTTGTACTTTCCTCAAAAAAAAATGAACAACCTCTTTAAACACCCCATTGTTGCCCCACTTGCTAGATAATTGTAAAGGCCAAAATAAAACATATCGGCAGAAAGAGAAAAAAAATACAGATTTTTTTTGTATCCTATAGATGACTCCAAAGGTCAGCAGGAGGTCATCCAGATTTAATTTAGTTTAATTATGGATGCTAATCAAATGTTTAATTGAAGTCAGCAGGCCCAAAAAACGAACCTGAACCACAATAATGTAAATATAATGAAATAACCTTTGATTAAGAAATATAGAATTAAATGTTACATCTTAGTATTTTTACTCATCTTACAAAAATACTAAGTGTGGCTCCCTCCAACACTGTAAGTGACCCTCAT